CAAATATATGGATTGTGTAATGGTAAAAGATTAACCATTAAAGAGATGTGAAAGAACATTATCAATGTAATTGATGTTTCGAGAAATCGCGTTGGAGAAAAAGGTTTACATACCCTGAATAAAATTTGGTATCATCTGATAGAATTCTCAATATAATAGTCTTATGTTTTGCTATGACTATAAACAAAAGTCAATGTCAAACATTGTCCTTTGCTATATTATTTTTAACCAATTCGGGATTTACTCATGGTTAGCTTTATGTTACTGTTTCACGAGTAAAGAAAAAGACATGATTAAAAATATTGGTTCTAGATGAAAATAAAAACGCTTAGAGCATGAACAATGGCAAGTAGAGAAATGAAATGACACACGCTGACGTGGCGTATTTCAACCAATAAGAAACAGTCTAGTCATAGAGTGGCATGTGTGTGGAGTAGCAACCCCTACAATGGCAAGTCATTCGTTTAATTTTTTCTCAAAAAAAAAGATGTATTGTGATTAATACAAATTATTTTATCAATAAAGAATATTTCTACTACCTTCGTAAAAAGCTTATTTAATTTCTCTTTTGAGAATTAGAAAATTTAAATCAAGTTGATTTTATATTCTTGGAGAAAATAGAAGAAAAATCAATTCATTAATAAAAGAGTAAATTTTATTCTCCGAAGATTGGCTTTACAAAATTGTAACAAACCTGTTTATAATTATTTTTGTTTTGAGTGGCCAGTTTATATACTACGGTACAAAACTTTACAAAGAAAAGAGAGAAAAAGAGCTTTAAAAAAAGAGAGAAAATAGGAGCAAATTAAAGGAGGGAGCTGAAACAAAAAAAAAAAAAAAAAAAAGAGCCACGGTGATGCCTCACAAAGAGGGGTGACACGGCTTGGCTTGCCTCGGTGATTCCTTACAAAGTCTGATGTGGCATGGAGTGGCAAGGCTTTGCCTTGCCGCTGCCAATGCTCTTACAACGATACAAAAAATGTTGTGTACACTAAAGTCTTTCAAAAAATTTGGAATTAAAAAAGATTTTTTCGAGTACACTTTCAATTGCTCAAATATTATATTCTACTTTGTCGTTGTTTTCCATTGATTAAAATTTGTGACAGAAATATATTTACTTGATTCTGGAATAAATATTTCATTGAAAAATTTCAAAATCGACAACAGTTTCGTTCGATCCCGTGCATCGCACGGGTCAAAATACTAGTGTTAATAATAATACAAATACATATCCTAAAAATAACATGCAACACATAAAAAAGTGATGCAGGCACGATCACACATTTGCCTTCATGTAATCCCCACCTGAAAAAGGGAAAAAATTATTATTAGTATTGCTATATCAGGATTTTAAATTTTGTAATATTGGTGGAATAAATAATAATGATACAATTTTGAAGTATATTGGAAAAATTATTATTAGTATTGCTATATCAGGAATTTAAATTTCGTAATATTTGTGGAATTAATAATAATAATACAATTTTGAAATCTACCTCCAGTAATGCATATTTATAAAAATATAATATACTAAAATTATGATGTGAGTCATTCCCGAAAAAGGCAAAACCATTATTAGCATATGCATAATAAAATTCAAAAATCTGTTATATACCATGAAATAATAACAGGGAACTCGAATTCATGCCAAGGTGAATAGCCCCGAACTTCATTACTAGCTACCAAAAGTAACCAAAGAAGATAGCACTGTGCACGATGCAACTTCTATGTAACGCCAAACTTTCAGTCCTAGAAGACAACATAGCACCCTTGGGTTTTGATCTTAACTTCAAAAACCATGTATAAGGATCTCACACCTAAAAGCGAGGTAGACGTACCCCTTCCAACCTTTTTCCGAGTTTAGGTTTGAAATTCAGTTAATCGACTCCATAGTGGCACCGAGAGAGATGGAAGGCAACTAAGGCTTAATTATAACATATTCACTATCTCTATATTAATATATTCTATTTGTCTTGAAGTAGACCTTATAATGTCTACAGTATCTATGCTTTTTTTATTGGGCCTAAAGAACCTTATACCATGTTTGAAACGTGCATGTCATGCGTCTCAAATTAATGGAGAAGGGTTTGTTCTGTTTTAGTTTCTTTTTAAGTTCTCTATGGCATCTACCCAATGTATATATTATTATGATGAAATGAAACTAAGCATATATGATTATATGTTATTTCTTCTCGCTGCAATGTTCTTCATTCTATATTTAAAGAATGCGTCTGAATCCTAAAAAATTGCTCACATTAAAAAAACCCTTTTAAGAAATACTCCGTAATCAACTAAATTTGAAGGAAGGAAACGATTTGAAAGTTTCATACCAAATACTGTTTGGTACATAAAAAACAGTCCTAAGACACATTCTTTTGGAATAATGAAATACGTTCATATGTTTATATTTTTTGGTTCTGTTGTGCAATAATAATCTTTATTCTGATTTTAAAGAATACTTCTAAACCCATCTAACGACTTAGTCATCTTAAAAAAAACCCTTTTAAGAAATAACAAACCAAATTTCAAGGTGTAATCTTAAAAAGAAAATGATTTCAAAAAACCAGTGTTACAAGATAGAACACTTTAACATAAAATGCTCATCACTTCTTATCAAATACGTTTTGGTTCATAAAAAACACTGTCCTGAACTATTCAATAATTTTGAAAACATAAAATAATGTAAATATGACCATTAGCATTTTAAAATAAACAATTTTACAAATAGTCTTGTGCCGAACATATTGATAGTTACATCTTGGTGACTAATTGAATTATAACCCTTGAAACACCTTTATATTTAAAACTTTCACTCAAAATTCTCGTGTGAACATTTATAGTTTTATAGAAACTCACCAAGTTAACAAAAAAATATTTTCTGTTTCATGCATAGAAATTATTTTCCTTCTTTTCTATTTGGATTGTGCCATTATTTTCTTCTTCTTCCCTTTTAAGAAAACAAATATGTGATCTATATCAGTTCTCTTTTCTGTGTACAAATAACAACTACCAATATTCTACTTTATTAAAACGGAAAGATTCTCATGACATTGCCCGGCAATGTCATGAGAACTTTGGTGTTATTAAAAATCGTACGAAGTCATACTCGAAAGATAATTTCAGGACGAATATGTGATTAATATCAATTCTCTTTCTTCAATACAAATTACAATCATCAATATTCCACTTTATTTAAAATTGTACCAAGTCAAATCGAAAGATAATTTTGGGAGGAAAGGAACTCATCCAAAACACTACTCTAATAAAAATTCTTCGACCTACCCAAACACACCGTCATTGGAGGGAGGGAGACACATAGTAATGTTTTAAGGAGAATGCGTATCATCTGATTCATCTCCCATTATTTTAGGCCAAAAAAATGTTCAAAAAAAAGAAAAAGAGATCTTTAGACCAAATAGAGGGCTGAACCAAACAACAAAAAAATAGAGGGACGCAATGGAGCTCCAACTCCTACTATTCCTTCTCCTAATTCAGTTGCATCTCCGCCACTCCGCCGCCGCCAGAGAACCATCCAGCCAATCCGAGCTCGCTGCCTTGCTGTCAGTAAAGGCGGCGTTCACTGAAGATTCTCAGGCCTCTCTCGCCTCATGGAACGCCTCCTCCACCGACCCCTGCACCTGGAGCGGGGTCACGTGCGACTCGCTTCGCCACGTGGCTTCTCTGGACCTCACCAACTTCAATCTCAGCGGCTTCCTCTCCCCGGAAGTCGGCCGCCTTCGTTCCCTCGTCAACTTGTCTGTGGCATTCAATCAGATCTCCGGCCCCATTCCGGCGAAAATATCCGCCATAGGTTATCTCCAATCCCTGAATCTGTCGAACAATAACTTCAGTTCCGTCTTCCCTCTGCGGCTTGTTCGACTCAGTCGTCTTCGCGTTCTTGACCTCTACAACAACAATTTGACCGGCAATCTGCCGGTTGAAATCTACCGGATGAGGCGTCTCCGTCACCTCAACCTCGGCGGCAACTATTTCACAGGCAATTTTCCTCCGGAATACGGGATGCTCAGAGATCTGGAGCATCTCGCGGTTTCAGGAAACGGTCTGACCGGCATAATACCTCCAGAGATCGGAAATTTGACGAAACTTAAAGAGCTCTATATTGGCTACTTCAACTCTTTCTCAGGCGGCATACCGCCGGAAATAGGGAGATTGTCTCAGCTCGTAGGCCTTGATGCCGCTTACTGTGGACTTAGTGGAGAGATTCCACCTGAGATTGGGAAACTGGAGAACCTGGAGTCGCTATTCATTCAAAGGAACGATCTTACAGGGTCACTACCGCCGGAGCTAGGGCAACTGAAGAGCTTGAAGTCAATGGATCTATCAAACAATAACTTCACCGGTGAGATTCCGGCAACATTTGGAAAGTTAAAGAATCTCACTCTTCTGGACGCCTTCCGGAACAATCTTCGCGGCTTGATACCGGACTCCATTGGGGATTTGCCTGAACTTGAGGTGTTGCAGCTGTGGGAAAATACCTTAACAGGTAACATTCCACAGCAGTTGGGGAAGAATGGTAAACTTCAACTTCTTGATGTAAGTACCAACAAGTTGACAGGAAATATACCCCCATTCTTGTGCAAGGGAAACAAATTTCACACCCTAATTACTCTGAACAATTTATTGTCCGGCCCGATCCCAGAATCTTTAGCCCAATGCGAGTCGCTAACCCGAATTCGCGTGAACAATAACTATCTCAATGGGTCAATTCCTGAAGGGATTTTCAATCTAGATAAACTGTCACAAGTTGATCTCCAAGACAATATGCTCTCCGGCACTTTTCCGGAGACAAACTCTTCATCGTCTAGTATAGGAGAGATAAGCCTTTCCAATAACAATTTGACTGGGCCATTGCCATCAAGCATTGGAAAATTTGCAGCTTTGCAGAAACTTCTTTTAGATGGGAATGCATTTTCAGGTCACATCCCCTCAGAGATAGGGAAACTACAACAGCTATCAAAGATGGATTTTAGCCGCAATAATTTTTCCGGTGTGATTGCACCTGAAATTAGCCGGTGCAAGTCTCTGTCTTTTATTGATCTTAGCGCGAACCAATTTTCAGGTGAGATTCCTACTGAGATTACGGGTATGAAGATATTAAACTATCTAAATCTGTCCCGGAATCACCTTAGTGGGAGCATTCCAGCTTTAGTTGCCAAAATGGAGAGTTTAACCTCTGTTGATTTCTCCTATAACAATTTATCTGGATTGGTTCCCAATACCGGCCCGTTCAATTCTTTCAATCACTCCTCATTTCAGGGGAATCCAAATCTCTGTGGCCCGTACTTAGGGACTTGCAAAGACAAGTCCAGTCAAACTCATCAGAAGAGGGGACTCACATCATCTATGAAGCTTTTACTCGTTGCCGGATTGCTTGCATGCTCAATTGTTTTTGCTGTTGTAGCAATTCTCAAAGCCCGTTCTTTAAAGAAAGCAAGCGATGCTCGTGCATGGAAACTCGCTGCTTTCCAGCGCTTGGGCTTTACCTGTGACGATGTCGTAGAATGCTTGAAGCCAGAAAACATCATTGGGAAGGGAGGTGCAGGTATAGTCTACAAGGGAGTGATGCCGAATGGAGAAAACGTGGCCGTGAAAAGGCTACCCGTTATGAGCCGCGGATCTTCACACGATCATGGCTTCAATGCAGAAGTACAGACTCTGGGTAGGATCAGACATAGGTACATCGTGAGATTACTTGGCTTTTGCTCAAACCATGAAACAAACCTTTTGATTTATGAGTACATGCCGAATGGGAGTCTAGGCGAAATGCTTCATGGAAGTAAAGGTGGCCATTTGATGTGGGATACGCGGTATAAGATAGCTGTCGAGGCTGCCAAGGGTCTTTCCTATCTGCATCATGATTGCTCTCCCCTCATCCTCCATCGTGACGTGAAGTCAAACAACATTCTTCTGGACTCCAATTTTGAAGCCCACGTTGCCGATTTTGGCCTTGCCAAGTTCTTGCAAGATTCTGGAACTTCTGAATGCATGTCTGCTGTTGCTGGTTCTTATGGATACATAGCTCCAGGTATTATAATCCAATGCCAAATTATGATTAAATTTTTTCCATTCTATAGTGAGCTATCATTTGTTTTTGCTCTAATTCACAAGTACTTTGTTGACTGATTGAGATGAACTTAATGCAGAATATGCGTACACGCTTAGAGTTGACGAGAAGAGCGACGTGTACAGTTTTGGAGTGGTTCTGTTGGAACTATTATCGGGAAAAAAGCCGGTTGGGGAGTTTGGGGATGGCGTTGACATAGTCCAATGGGTTAGGAGGATGACTGATGGAATGAAGGAATCAGTTGTCAAGATCCTGGATTCAAGACTTGAGACTGTCCCCATTCATGAGGCAATGCACCTCTTCTATGTTGCTCTTCTATGCGTAGAAGAGCATGCCATGGAGCGCCCGAAAATGCGGGAGGTCGTTCAAATGCTGGCCGAGCTGCCCAAACTGCCCGAGAATGACAGACGGGAAGACGATGCATCGGTGTCCCCGGATGATCTTCTCAGCTTATAGATTGATTCCCTGCTCTGTATGAAATTTTCTGTTCATGCCACTCTATTGTATTTTGCTCTCTCTCTCTCTCTCTATATGTTTGATCGTGCCCCAATTTCAAGTTTAGACTCTCCTCTACCATGCATTTCTATGCTTTTATTTATCAGGTCATATAATTTCTCCACACTTATGGACTAGGTATGTTTTTTTTTTGATGGATTTTGAAACAAGGCTCCCTTTGGAAAGATGGAAAATGACTTCTAGACAATGAATGGGTTTTGGAAAATAAATTTATTCTCTGGTGTTTGGTTTGAAGTTTAGAAAACTAGAAAATTGGAAAATGTATTCTGTTGAAAAAAAATAGAATTTATAGTATTCATTCAATTTGATTCTTTGCCGTCAAACTAAAAAGAATTTTGAGAATAAATAGAATAAAAATTTTATTGTACTCCCTTTGTCTAAATTAAATTACCTCTTTAGTATTCACATTGTTAAACTTCATTTACTTTTTTTCTTTTTTTCGGTAGTCATTTGATAAAATAAAATAGTCATGTCACCATTAGGTTTGTAGATCTTTTGATGTAGTATTTTAATATGTAATTTTTATTTTTACACTATTTTTTATAAAAATGATTTGAAAAATAATTTAAGTTCAATATCGTAAACCGAAACATGCAATATAAATAATCCACAAATAATTTCATCAGGTTTAGTGGTATCTTATGAAAGTAGAATTTGAAAGGGTGTGTAAGCAGACCTTACAAAAGATTTTATACTTGGTCTGTTTTAAAATGATCTTTGCACCTTTTCTATAGTTCTTTCAACATAAATTTCATGTTTCACCTAAGGAATGAATGTGTAATTTTTATTAGCTATCTCTTTTATAAATCCTCTCTTCCAAAAAGAATGACACATTTTACAATTCAAAAATCATGAAAACTTTTGTTTATTTGTACGTTTTCATCGATTATTTGATAAAATAAAATATTATTGTCGCATCTTGTTTTATACTCCCTCCGTCTCAAAAAATCTTTCCTATACCCTATACTATTACGGCCTCTCGATAACTCTTATTTGCTTGCGTGTTTTCATTGATAATTTGATAAAATAAATTATTCTTGTCGCCTCTTATTTTGTAAAGTTTTCAATGTAGTTTTTAAATATAATTTTTTTATGTGTTGTTTCCTTACCAATTTGCAAACAAAATCATATTAAAATTCACAGGATTTTGCACGTTAATGAAAGTAAGAAATTCTTTTTAGGACGGAGGGAGTAGAATTTTTGAGGTACTTTTACCTAATGTGGTAAACATTTAATAATGAAGTGTAAAAATGCACAAATAATAGAACTATAAGAATATCATTTTCTCTCATTTTCATGATAGTCAAATCAAGAACTTTATTTTAAAAGAAATACTCTAAAAGAATCTACAAACACGAAACATTGTTTTGAAAAGTGCTTAGAAATAAGTGGATATAGCTTATTTTAAAATATTTCTTCTGTGTCATAATTATCTTTATATTTTTTTAATTGAGTTGTCCCAAAAATCTCTTCTATTTTTTTAATAGAAAAACTTTATGTAATCTTGATTATTTCTTTTTCTCTATACAAATACAACAAAAAAGATCTAATTTCTTACAAATTATGTCAAGTCAAATAAAGAAGAAATATTAAAAGAGGACTGAATTCTCAAAACGTTCTTTTATAGTAAAACTATTTTTTGGAATTAGTTCTCAATAAACAATAATTATCAATGTGATCCTTTATAATTTAGATTTATTGTCTAAATGATCTTTAAATAAAAAATGTCTATTAAATATCAGTCAAATAGAATGTATTTTTGGATTTTCTATGATTTAGACTTAAAATATGTTCTCGTCTTCTCGATATACTCTTTTAAAATTAATTTTTTTTTCAAATTGGTTCAAGTAAATTTTTTCTCGAAATGGAGACCATGAACCTATTCGGGGCGGGTTCATTCCTCTACCAGTCACCCATTTAATTTGAAATGGCCATTTTGAGTATTTATTCATAATTTAAATAATAAAATATATCAAAATATCATTTCTTTAACTATTACTCCTTCCGTCCCCCTGTATTTGTCCACTTTCATTTTTACACATCATCCAATGCACTTCTTTAATCCATTTTATTTTGTAATTTGTATATTAAAAAATTATAAAAATTATATATTAATAATGTATATGTTAAGACAAATCAAACAAGATCACACATGACTATATTTAGGTTTACACATTGAGAGAATTTGATGAGTCAAAGTGCTTAGATTAACAGTTTCAAAAGTCAAATGTGGACAAATACATGGGGACGGAAGGAGTATTTAATAAACATTTTTAATAGAGGACTATTTAAAATATAAATTTTAATTAAAAAGATCACATTGGAAATTACTCCATCCGTCCTAAAATTTTCTTCCCAGAGCACTATTCCAACTTCACGGAAATTTATATTTATTTGTGTTTTTTCATGGCCTATATGATAAAATAAAATATTCTTGTCACCACTTGTTTTGTTGAACTTTTGATGTAGTTTTTAAATATGTATGTTTTATTTTTTATTTCTATACCAATATTTAAATAAAATAGATTGAAAAAACTTGAGATTTTTCTTTGTTTTGCGCAACGGAAAAAAAGTTTTATGACGGAGGGAGTATTATTTATTGAAGACCAATTTTAAAAAAAAAATTATTAGAAAAGATGGTTTTCAAAAATCACTCTTGAGTGGATGTGTAAAAAGAATAAAGAGTGGTACATGGAATGAGACGTTGTTTCGGAGTAGTGCCCTATAGGGTCTAAAAAGTCGCTTTGATGGAAGGACAAAAAGTCCAAAAAGGACACATCGGGATGAACAGAGCTGCAATGAACTGTATTCATTCAGTACGACTTGCGAGAATAAAAAGTGGCTGTGGGGACCTACGCCAAAAATCAAACCAATCCTTTTGTCTCTTGCCAAGGTGGTCCTATTGTTTCGTTCGACGCCGTACGCCATTCGGCATATCCCCATGTGGACGACCTTGGCTTTTTCCTTCCTATCAAGATTGTTGTCCCCTCATAAAATAGCAAATTTGGATTTGATATTTTAAAATACGGGTTGGGTTTGGGCCTTATAAATAGTAGCTCGAATATTTTAAGGTTGGATTTGAGTTTTAAGCTCACGGGTCGGCTCGACCGAATGAACTAAAATATTTATTATTGGTATAACTATAATAAAATAATAATAACGTTAACATGAATAATAATAATAATAAAATAATACTATTTCAATTATCCTAAACACACTTACACACATGCATACTTCTATGGAGAAAAATGTGACTTATAAATATATTTAATAAAATGAATACATGTTTATTACCCCATATTGTTTACTACGTATCACATATTGATAATTATATTCCAATAACTAATAGTCTGTACTCGTAGCAATATCATACAAAACACATTTTATATTAGTTGTTCTTTCATTTACTCATTATAGTTATTCTATCCAACATTGCATCTAATATATTAACACATTAATTTATTTTTTTAAAAAATATTTATTTAATTATTTAGAAGTTTTTGTCATGCAGACTGGGTCAGCCCGAAGCCCTGCGGGTATCCATGCGGACCGGGCTCAGGCTTCAATTGTTAAGTCCGCTTTACGGGCCGGGCCAGGCTTAAGCCAAAAAAATTCTCATAATATAGCGTCTCAGCGTGGCCCGAGCCATACTTTGATCAGGTCTAATACATACTAATCTTGGGATAACTTTTTTTGCATCTAATACCTAGGAGGGAAGACTGGGTTTTGAAATCCCGATTGATGGGTGTATTTCACCCACAACCGGTCAAAGGGTTGGATTAGATAGTTGACCGGTCAAATAGGTAAAACTTGGAAGGAGGATTTGAATCGTCGGCAAAGGGGATAAATGGTCGACCAAAAAGGTTGACCGGTACACTTCGGATGGTATACCGGTCAACCTTTTCTATCGTCTAATTCCATCTTTCGAAGCTAGCTAATCAACCCTCAAGAACCAACCGGTAAAGTTTCCGAGGATTTGAGGGTGTCGGCAGGAAGAGTCCAAAAGGGCTTGAACTGTTGTGCCTGGCATTACTGGAGAATCGGTGGAGATGCCGAAGGAACCTTTCCAAACCAGAACACGACAAGGGCACAACACCCCTCGCAAGATGACAAGGCAGCTCAAGGACGAAACCAGTCACCTCGCAACACATCAGCATCGTGCCCCCACGTGGGCGCACATGGACCTGTCCCCCCAGCTTAGTATATATACCTCTTGTAAGCCTCAGAAAGGGGATTCGAATGGATTCTCTCTAAAACTTCCTTGTAAAAACACCCGTGCATTCTCCGTTATAATATAAATTGGGCTACAGGTGTTCCACCTAAAGTCCTACCGGTCAATCTGCGTGTTTTTACCTAGCTTACCTTGCCAAATCGAACAAACTATTCTAGACCTGGTCTAGTATAGTTTGACCGGTCAAGTAATTTACACCATCACCGATAATATTTTACTTTTTTTTATTTATTTTAGGATTTAGAAACTAGAATTTTAGGATTTCTTTTTGAAAGACTACATTTTTAGGATGACTATAACTGAAATAGCTATTTAACCAAAATTCAAATATAGAGAAAATATCAAAATTACAAAATATAGAACATGAGTTATATGATTTTAACCACAAAATAGGATCATTGCTCTGTGACAATTTGGCAACGTATTTTGGTATTTCATTCCCCATCTGTCCCTCTGTATCAGTCCATATTTGACTTTGTTTGGTCAAAATTTGTAAACTTTAAATAGAAATGATATTAGATATTGATACAAAAATAGGTTTTTAGATTTAATTTGTTATATAAATATTTTCAAAATATTACTTTATATAATTAATATACAATAGATATTTTATTTAATTATAGGTCAAAAATTAAAAATGGTTGACTGAAAAAAGTCAACACTGGATAAATCATATGGACGAAGGTAGTAGTATTTTTTGGTATCAATATGTTGATATTAATGACATTGTAACTCGTATTTTGTTACAAAAATATAGAGTTCATATTTTGATGTTTTCTTCATGTTTTACTCTTAATTTAGTCTTTTTTTCTTTAACATATTGCGTATTTTACATGCGGTGTGTGGGTGAGTTGTCTGCTGGATTACTTCAGTTTTAGCTACCTAAAATTCAGAATCTAAATACCCCCTTCTTTCCACAAAGATTATTTCTTTAAGGGTCAAACTTCAATCACTTTCTTTCTTTGATTTCACTACTTAATTGTATTCGATAATATTATGAGTAATATGGATACTTATTATTACTTTCATTATTTTATTCTACCAAATTCCTTATTCTACCTTGATTATGACTCTCCAAATATTTTTAATACATACTTGTGTAATCATCATTATTTAATAAGATCAATTATTATCAAAGTGTACTTTTGGAATTAGAGCCAAGATTTTTCATTCAAAAACCTAGATCTCTTCTTTCACGATTGTGCGCCACCACCGGTCCTCATCATCGATGGTTGACTATCATAATCATGGCCTTATCATCTCTTATTTCTCTCTTTCTCTCCAAAAAATTATGAGCGTGGCTAATAGTTTTTGTTTCTTATCCTTATCTTTCTCCAAAAAATATGTGCGTGCTTGAAGAAATAAAAACTCCATTGGTATGTGTTTTTTCTAGACTAGAGCTACGACTTTCTAATAATGAGGATGTTACATTCATAAAGACTATGACTAAAATATCTTTTATCGAATATTACAATAATACGGACGTTATAATATACTAAGACTAATACGTATGAGACAAGATAGATGTCTCTCACAGCTATAGACATTGAGATATATATATTAATCGAGATATATATCTTAATCTGTATGTATGTATATGAGATATGTTACTAAATTGACCCCACAACGAGTATAGTACATAGGTATCATTTTAATGTGCGACATTTTTTTGCGCAAATATAGAAAATATCGGAAGTGCGACATTTTTTTTTGCGACAGAAGTATTTCGTCGCAAACCTGTCGCAATTTCTAATTCTGCGACCAAAATAGAGTGTTTGCAATAGTCTGTCGCAAATTTAGCAAATTTTCGTAGTGTTTGGTCGGGATATAACACTAAGGCTCGGGGTACCACTCTGGCCAAGGTGCCACTCTGGCTGTGATATACCACTTGGGCTCGGGGAACACCACTCTGGTCGGGACATGGAACTTTGGCCGGATTTAGCCACCTATGTATGCGGTTCATCGTTCTCTTACTTGATCCATACGGGTTGGATATCTCCAATGTTATGGGCCTGTCGAACGGGCCTGGTATATGCTTGGACATTATCCCAATAGTAGTATTCTTATTTAGGAAAATTTAGGAAAAATTATCCCAAATCATCTCATAATTTTGCGTTCTTTCAAAAATAATTTTATTTTTTATTGTCACAAAAAATAATCTCACATTTATTCACGTGTGGAGTTTTGGGTTGCCGTTAAAATGCTAACAGTTACTTGACAAAACTTTTAGAAAAAGTTTTTTTGCAAATAAATGGAAGATGAGATTACTTCTAGTAAATTATTTTTTTTTCTTTTCTTATTTTAAATTTTAAACTTAAATATTTTTTTAAATATTTTTATAAATTGTACCAAATTTAATTCTTTTTTCCAAAGTGACACTAATAATTATTATTATTAATAGATAATTAGGTAATAATTTTTTTTCCAAATAATATTACAAAAGTTGTAAAATTCACAATAAATTATTCTACAAAATGCAACTAAATAATTTTCTAAAACAATAGTTAGTGTCACTCTAGAAAAAACACTTAAATTTGATATTATTTATAAAAACATTTTTAGAAAATACATTTAAATTTAAAATTAAAAAACAAAAAAGAGAATCTGGTAATAATTGTTTTCTCCAAAACAATAATACAAAAGTTGTGACCATGTAAAACATAAAAAATACATCCAAATAGGAATTCCATGATTTTATTCATGAAATATGAGTTAAAATATATTTACATTATCAATTATGACAATGTACATCACATAAAATGTATATGTACAATGCCACATTATCATAATGCGAACTCATATTTAAGAAATAAGAACATGATATGGAACTCCTATTTGGGTACTATGTCTATGTTTTAGTTCTATTTAGGGTGATTTCTTCATTATCTTACAAAATGAAACTAATTTATTTACTCTATAACACATTACTTTTTTTTTGTAAGTTGCAGATGTTTTCTTGAGCGGCACTTCAAATTATTTTTTGATGATGCACTATTATTATTTTTTATAAAATGACACTACAAAATTTGTGAATATTTTTTGATAATTTACTATAAATGTTTTTTTTTGCAAAACAACATTACAACAATTATGAAAATGACCCAATAACTTTTTTTGAAATGAAAATGTTATTTTTATATTTCCCTACATTTTTTACATTGCATTTCTTTTATTAATAATATTTTGAAATATTTATTAATAATTATCTATTGCTCGTATTATTTTCCAATATGACACTACAAAGCTTGTGACTTTTTTCAACAATTCTGTACAAATGTTTTCTGCAAAATAACAATTCAAAAGTTGTGAAAATAGTACAACAATTTTTTTCTCCAAAGTCCAAAATGACAATAATTATTTTTATAATTCACTACATTTTTTAATATTGCAATCACTAGTATATATAAGGGCAAAGGCACCCGTTGTTTTGTCCCTTTAGCATCGGTTTTGTACCGATGCAAATACAAGAGATGCAATTGATCGAATTCAATTGCATCACTTTGGAAACAACCGATGCCTTTGCTATTTTATTAATTTAAAAAAAGAGTATTAGCATCGGTTGTTTCTAAACAACCGATGTCTTTGATATTTTTATTAATTTAAAAAAACTGTATTAGCATCGGTTTTTTCTAACCAACCGATGCCTTTGCTATACTATTTTTTGAAAATATTAATAAAAGGGAGTATTGGCACCGGTTATTTAAATACAACCGATGCCTTTGGTTTTTTAATTTTCTAAATTTTTTTTAAAAAAATTGTAATTGCATCGGTTTGTCAGAAAGAACCGATGCCTTTGCTATATTTATTTTTAAAAAAATAGCCAGAAAATGGTATTAGCATGGGTTCTGTAGAAATAACCGGTGCCTTTCGTGTATTAATTTTTAAAAAAGATTTTTTAAAAAATATATTTGCATCGGTTCGACCGAAACAACCAATGCCTTTGATATATTAATTTTAAAAAAATTATTAAAAAAGGGTATTAGCATCGATTTTTCAGTTAAAACTTATTCCTTTGCTAAATACTCCCTCCGTCCCAAAAAGTTTGTTACGCTTAGAAAAAACTGCGTCTCGTAAAGTCCGTTACATTTCTATTAAAAAACCACTTTTACCCCTTACTTTTTCATACCCTACCTATCACATCATAACTTTTTTCTAATAATCTACCCATCACATTCTACTTTTACCCATCACATCAAGGGTATTTTTCGAAAGTCAATACCAAAATATCCCTCCCTTAATTTCTCAAAAAGTCAAATTGTCTCATTCTTTTTGGGACGGAGGGAGTATTTTAAATACTCATAAGGGGATCGAAACATAACATCCAAATATATTAAATACTCATAAGGAGATCCAAACACAACATAACAAACATAACAAGTATGCCTTTACATACTTATAAGGCCATAAGGGGATCCAAACATAGCATTCTTTTTGCGCATATCCATTACAAACACCGTAGTAACAATCTAACAAACCATTTCATTCAGGGTCAAAACCATTCTTTCTTTGTGTCATAGATCGCAAAGCTTTAACTTTAGATTGAGTCCCTTCAAGTCTATCGGCCACCGCATCCGCCTCATTTTTTGCATTCTACACCATATAAAACAGCACAAGCCAGAATATTAGACAGAAGAATCCAAAGGCTAACAACAAAACTAACTTGCATGTTGGAACACTTTACCATTACACTGCGACTAGATGAGGTGACGACTGCCTTGAAGGAGAGTCAAAGGATGATGGGAGGTGAAGAGTCTTCCGGTTACAGTCATTAACTAGCTGCTCTGAGTGTTGAGAAAGGGAGGAAGAAGAAGAGTGACCAACTTGGGAGAAGATCTCAGCTGAGAGACATGAGCACTGTTAGGTGCTATTACTGTGAAAAGTTAGATCACACGAAGAACGGTTGTCGAGAACTCAAGGAAGACTTGCATATCCTAAAGGAGAAGAAGGGCAAATCGAAGGAAGCTTCTTTCGCAAATGTGATCACTTATGAAGATGATCTCCTCTGAAGATAAGAGTACTGCTGGACAGAAGATTCTGAAGATGGGAGTATTGCTGCAGAAATCGCAAATGATGTAGGACTTTGAATTAAGGAGAGATTTGTTGAGTGTTATTTCAAAGTCCCACATCGGTGGAATAGGAAATTGAGGAGGGATTGGATCCTATAAATAGAGAGGGGGTATAGGTTTCCATCACATAACACAATCCTTCAATCTATATAATTGTGTATTAGATTTTAAGTTGTGAGTGTTAAATATTGGAGAGGGTTTGTAATTTTCCTGTGCAAAAATTACTATTGGGGGCCTAACAGATTTTTTATGAATTTTATTAGAAAGTCATAAACTTTATGAAACCTGTTCAATAACTTGGCTTCTAGAGATACACGTTAACAATCTAAAGCAGCCAGAAATATGAATAATCATTCCTTCCAATGCATAAAACTGCAAAATAGAAGTTAAGAAGTGACTAAAAAGATCAAATTTATTTCATCTCATTCAAAATAAGTAACCATTATTTGAATTCACACAGAGAAATTAAAAGAATTGGGAATAACCTGTACAAATTCACAAATAGAAATTCAAAGAATATCTGGAAAATAAGAAAAATACCTGGTAGATAGGTCGCGGTACTGTGTTGTCCGACCGGACAAGGACTTCAGCGCGGCGGCGGTGGCATTGGACTTCCACGCCGACAAAACTTCAGCGCAGCGATGGCATTCTTGGAAACCACCAGCGGCTTCAGCGCCGATAACAGCCTCGAAGTGCAGCGGGAAACCCTAGCTTCCTCGTTCAGTCTCAGGTTGGGTGCTGTGAAGTTACGTCTGCGAAGTGTCGCCGAATTCTGCCCAGCGATGTCGCCGAACTGCCGAAGGGTCGCAGGTTCTTTTGCACTATGTTTGGTTTTGGTTCAATGATTTTGGATGGGAAAACAAAAGAAAATACTCGAGGAAAATGTTTTTGAGCAATGGCAGGAGTAGGTGTACCCATTTGTCCCCCACCACCTTCTCCACCAACCGTTCTTATTTAATTTTTATTTATTTATTTTTTTTTAAAGTTTTTGTCCATTTATGTGATGGTGAAGGGGCTCGGGAAAATCATTTTCCTCCCCGATTTTGGATGGAAAACTAGAGAATCCATCGCTCCCGTCTCTGAAGCCTTCTCATCCTAAACACTGCCATGTCTTCTAGCTCAGCCATCTTTGCACCTGATCGTGCCTCTCAGCTCACAAGTCTCAACCGATCATATCCCTAGATCGCAACCCTAATTGCGATAAACGGCCGCCTCTCTCCATTCAATTGTCACTGGATTTCTTCATTTTTGCTGCCATGTCTTCTTGCAAAAACACATCGATGCCTGATACACGAAGGTTTCTCGTGTACCTTGAGAAGAACTGCCGTGAATGGCGAAGAGGAAGAGAGAGAGCCGAGAGGGTAGGGTTTAGGAGAGAGAAGGAGAGAGAGAGTTTTTAGGAGAGGAAAACCTGGTTGTATTCTGATAGTTTAAGGGAAGGAGACCTCCTCCTTAAATAATGTAGAGTTCTCCAATCCTACTAGAACTAAGTTAACTACCCTGTCGGTTCAACAAAGGGGTCAAGGGAAAGAACCGAAAAGAAAACCCTTGAAGGGACTTATAATTCGTCCACCTAAAGAAAATCTAAGTACATAAATGAATTAGCCATATTAAAATAAAATTAAACATAATCTTGATATTTGCGTGGCGGACCCACGCTCCTCTATGAACGTCGCGTTGCAATTGTTCCTTCGTCTTGTGTTAGCGGGGCCTTGGCCGTATCAATTCCCCCGGGGTTAAGAGCCGGCTTGTCCTCAAGACGGAGATCAGGAAAGTGGCGCTGCATTTCTTCAACGGGCTCCCAAGTGTCGTCGTCCTGCGACCCATCCGCCCACCGTATGCGCCATTGGTCCTGGGGAACACCTTCGACCAAAACAGTGCGACGATCCAGGGCAGCTGCTGGTCGAGATATGGGTCTGCCGTTGAAGAACTCCAAGGGCAGGGATGGTTGAGGCAAGGTCGGACCTGCTGCGGCGAAGGGTTTGAGTAACGACGTGTGAAACACGTCATGAATTTGACAGCCCTCCGGAAGGCGTAAGCGGTAGGCAACCTCCCCGACACGCTCCATGATTTCAAATGGACCATAATAGCGTTGAGCGAGCTTGTAGGACGCGGGTCGGGCTACCAAATGCTGGCGGTACGGCCGGAGCTTGAGGAGCACCAGGTCCCCAACGTTAAAAGAAACGTCCCGACGATGTTGATTGGCTTGGGCACGCATGCGGTGCTGCATCTTCACTAACTGGAGCTTTAATTCGTCCAACATGGTTGCCCGGTCGCAAAGTAATTCCTCAATCGCTGGTGTGCGAGCATAGGCGGCCAACGTGGGAAACATGGAGGGCGGCGGGCGACCATACAGAGCTTGGAACGGGGACATGCCAATGGTGTCGTGGTGGGAACAATTCAAGGCCAACTCAGCCCATGGGAGAAACAAAGACCAGCGGCGCTGGCGCTCGTGGGTGAATGCCCGAAGATATTGTTCCAAACTGCGGTTTGTAACCTCTGTCTGCCCATCCGTTTGGGGGTGGTAAGCCGTGCTATACTTCAATGTGGTACCACTCAAACGCATCAGCTCCCGCCAGAAAAGGCTCATAAAGACGGAGTCTCGATCGGATATGATGTCAACCGGGAATCCATGATGTTTGACGACGACCTCGAGGAACAACTGAGCAACTTTCGGGGCATCATATCCAGCGCATACGGTTCCAAAATGGGCGTACTTGGTTAACCTGTCGACTACAACCATTATCACTGTGAAGCCCCTAGAGGGGGGTAACCCCGTAATAAAGTCCATGGAGGCAGACTCCCATACGCGATCGGGGATTGGAATCGGTTGGAGCAGCCCCCCAGTTTCTGTGTAGAGTATTTTGTAACTTGGCAAATAGTGCACGAACCCACAAAGTGACGGACGTCACGGCGCATATTCTTCCAAAAGAAAATCGCGGCCAGGCGGCGGAATGTGCGGTCGACGCCTTGATGACCAGCGAGAGGCGTGCTATGGAACTCGAGCAGCAACTGTGCGCGTAAGGGGGAGTCAGCGGCAATGTACAGACGATGTTTGAAGTAGAGGAGGCCGTCGTGGATGATGTAGTCTGGGGAAGCAGCCCCTGTCCGTACAGCTTCGTGTAGGTCCTGGAGTTCCGGTGCCGTGGCATTCTCGCGTTGTATATCCAACATTAGGGAGGGAATCGGGCGTGCATAAGTCACAAACAGCCCTGCAGGGTCGGCGTCCTCCTCACGGCGCGATAGGGCGTCGGCTACCCAGTTCGTTGTGCCGCTCTTATACTCAATGCGAAACTTATAACCCATCAGCTTGCGAATATAAAATTGTTGCTCTGGAGTCTGTATGACCTGCGATAGGAGCTCCTTCAAACTTCGTTGGTCACTGCGTATCACGAACTCGCGGCCCAAGAGGTATTGGCGCCACTTTTGGACGGCCTCGACGATTGCGTACAACTCTTAGTGATAAGTTGACGCGGCACGCCGGCGGGGCCCCAACTTTCGGCTAAAGAATGCCAACGGGTGTCCTTGCTGCATCAACACCGCGCCCACTCCGAAGTTAGGCGCATCGGTTTCCACATAAAAGGTGAGGGCAAAGTCGGGCAGTCGCAACACCGGTGCGGATGTCATGGCCTTCTTTAGCTGCTGGAAACTGTGTTCGGCCGCCGGGGTCCATGCAAAACTGTCGTTCTTCAAGAGGTTGGTTAATGGCGCGGCGATGGTGGCATAACCCGCGATGAAACGGCGGTAATAACCGGTGAGGCCCAAAAAACCCCGGAGCTGCTTGACGTTGGATGGAGTCGGCCAGGCCACCATGGCTGTGATTTTGTCCCCATCTGGCAGGAGGTCCCCAGCGGCAATGATGTGACCTAGATACGCCACTTTCGTCTGAGAAAAAGAGCACTTGCTGAGCTTTAGGAAAAAGGATTTGGCCTGGAGTATCTGACGGACGACCGCGAGGTGTTGGACGTGCAAATCCATGGTCGGACTATAGATCAAAATGTCGTCGAAGAAGACGATGACGAAGTGCCGCAGGTGAGGCCGAAAGATAGTGTTCATTGCCGCTTGGAATGTGGACGGGGCGTTTGTTAAGCCGAAGGGCATGACCAAGAATTCATAATGGCCTTCGTGGGTGCGGAAGGCTGTTTTAAAAATATCGGCGTCATGCATCCGGATCTGGTGATAGCCCGATCGAAGATCCAATTTGGTGAAGTACCGAGCCTGACCTAATTTGTCAAATAATTCATCCGTGGTCGGAATAGGGAAGTGATCTGGTATGGTTGCCGTATTTAGAGCCCGGTAGTCGACACAAAAGCGAAAAGTTCCGTCTTTCTTTCGGACCAAGAGCACCGGTGAAGAGAAAGGGCTGGTGCTCGGCCAAATTATTCCTTGGGAAAGCATCTCCCGTATTTGCTTCTCGATTTCCGCCTTTTGGAAGTAGGGGTATCGATACGGGCGGATGTTCACCGGTTTCGCCCCTGGGGATAAGTGTATACGGTGGTCCCACGCACGGTCCGGGGGCAGTCCAGAGGGAAGGCCGAACAGCGGTGCATGGCGCTGGAGGAGAGTCCGGACATCCAGGGGTGGCGTCCTGCGTAACTGCTGTGATCTGTAGAAGTCGTAAGCCGTGTCTGCCCGAGCCAAGGAACACAATCGGCTATACGAAATAGGCCGGGGTGCCGCTACATCCCCACGCAAAGTGATAGACTCTCCTTTCCAAACGAATTCCATCGTCATGGATGCATAGTCGTGGGAAACTTTTCCCAAAGTCTGAAGCCATTGAACCCCCAAGATGATATCCGGTCCATGAATCTCTAATAAATAAAGGTTGACGTCGAAGAGGTGGCCCTGTAACCGGAGCGGAGTGCCTAGACACGAGTATGAACAACGCAACGAATCACCGTTGCCCACGTAAACACGGAACGGGGTGACGGGGTGCAAGACCAAGGCCAACCGTTCAGCGACATTAGGATGGATAAAGTTGTGTGTGCTGCCGCTGTCTAAGAGTACCTGAACCACTACCGAATTAACGGATCCTGCAACCTTCAAGGACCTCGGGCTAGGGCTTCCGGCCAAGGAGTGCATAGTGGAGATATCTCCGAGTATGAGCGGAGCGTCGTCCACAAAGTCGGTGGGCGGAGACGAATCCAGATCAGGTTCATCATCGTCAGGACCCATGAGGAGGAGAAAGCGCCGGCGGCAATTATGAGTCGGGGTATATTTTTCATCGCAGTACTAGCATAATCCCTTCTTGTTTCGCTCCGCCTTGTCTGCGTTGGTGAGACGGACAATGGGCAGGTTCGGGGTGGTGACACGATCAGCTGTTTTCCCAATTGGAGCCACTGGCCGTGGAGTAGGCAAGATCCCAGGGGCTGAAGACGACGTACTGGCGGCGGGGGAAGGGTTCCACGCGCGGCGGGGTCTAGAGGAGTAGGTCGTGGCAGCTTCGGCATGACAGGCAGACAACTCCCGAGCGAGGGCAAAAGCAGCCGGTAGCGATCTGGGGCTACGAAGGTTAACCTCGCGTTGTAACGGTCGTTTCAATCCGGCCACGAACATGGACACAAGGGTTGATTCGGGCACCTCAGAGACCTTGTTGAGAATGGCCTCAAAGGCGGTCTGGTAATCCATTACCGTCGTCGTCTGGGTCAGTTTGGACAGCAACCCCACGTAGTTTTCATAGTAATTGGGATCGAATCGTTGTTGGACGGCCAACAAAAAATCCTCCCATGTAGCCGTGCAGTGATTTGCTTGATAGTAGTGAAACCACTCGGATGCCGGGTGATCGATTAACATAGCCACCAGTTGGAGTCTTTCCGGCTCTGGCGTCAAAAAATAATCAAAGTATTTTTGAATACGAAAAATCCAGCCCGTTGGGTCGTCTCCGGAAAAGCGTGGGGCATGAACCCGCATGCGCGGCACTGAATCGGGCACGGAGTTGGAGTACTGTGACAGTGGCGGTTTCCAGCTGGTGCACGGCTGTTTGGTGGTGATCCGAGCGTCCAGATGTGGCTGGGACGTGATCTCGGCAACCCTCAGCTTCGTTGCATGCAAATCCTTACGGGCATCCATGATTGCATGCATAAGATCTTCTAGAGTGAGAGCGGGAGAAGCGGATTCCGGTGTGGGTGTTGGAGTCGTCATGAGCACAACAATGAAAGCACCAATTGATACACGAAGGTTTCTCGTGTACCTTGAGAAGAACTTCCGTGAATGGCGAAGAAGAAGAGAGAGAGAGCCGAGAAGGTAGGGTTTAGGAGAGAGAAGGAGAGAGAGAGTTTTTAGGAGAGGAAAACCTGGTTGTATTCTGATAGTTTAAGGGAAGGAGACCTCCTCCTTAAATAATGTAGAGTTCCCCAATCCTACTAGAACTAAGTTAACTACCTTGTCGGTTCAACAAAGGCGTCAAGGGAAAGAACCGAAAAGAAAACCCTTGAACGTCGAGTTGCAATTGTTCCTTCCTCTTGTGTTAGCTGGGCCTTGGCCGTATCAATGCCTAGGCGTAAGTTTGTGGCACCAAACGTAAACCATCAATTTCCTGTGGAAACAAGATCTAACCCAATTTTTTTTCAGAATCAAAGACCCGCAAAAAGCACGATAAGAAGATCCTATGTTCTTCATTCATCTGGGGTGAGCGATCGTGAATTCGTATCTTTTTTTGACACTCAATTTGTGCATGATATTGAACATGTAAGCTTTTTCAGACACTCAGTTTGGTTTGTGTTTGGTCCATTGAGTTTTGGTTCGTAGCTTTTCTTAGTACTTATTGTGTATTTGATTTCTACCTTATTTGTATAATTTGCAATCTGTGTGTGAATCTATGAAGCTGACCATCGATTTGAGAACTTTAGAGTCATATCATATGTGATTCTGGTGTAATTTTGGAAGTCTATGGGTAGGAGTGAATTTTCACACAATTTTTGGAAGCATTCTAGAAAAAGAATGATGATAATATGATGTAAAAAATTATGGATATGTTTGCTGCCATATACCAATGAGTAGATTATTTGAAAAACCTTTTTCCCAATGGACATATTTTTCTGGTTTCTTGCGCTAGTACAAATCACAATTCCTCTACTACAATCATCTATTGTTATTAAATTAAATTAATACAAGTACATATTGCACCGCCATAGTGTCAAAAAAACCCAACCACTGTAAAACCAGCCAGCCAAACAGCTCCTAATGCCCCCACTATACATAAGTGCCCACTGCTCCTCTGTCTTCTTCAAGGTAGTATTGTTTTGTTTATTTCTGTACACAACGTTGCTATACAAATCCTTGTTCTGCCACATCAGCCAGTGGGACCATCAGGAGGGAGAGGTGGTTTTAGATTCTCATGGATTGCAATCTAGATAATTGAGATTGTTGAATTAAGGTTGAATTTATGAGATTTCTGAATATTTTTTATGATGAATCATGTTAAAACAGAAAGTAAGTTTTGTTTTATGAACAATAGGTGTGAGTAGTCTCTAAAACCAATATTGTGTTAGGACTAAAGGAGTCTCTGAAACCAATTGGCCCAAAAGAGTTCTGAGAATAACTTATAAACTAAATGGGATTTGTGAATCAATTTAAGTGGTTAGGACTATTAAACTTGCTATGGCTAGGTGGTTTGAGTTACTGATGCCAATACTGCTATTCTATCATCTTGAGTTACTGCTACCAACACTGGTATTCTATCATCCTGAGTTATTGTGTGCCTCATTTTCTTCTTCTTCTTTTGTGTATGTATATGTCAATTAACATCCCAACTTAGTCTTAGTGTTCAGGCATTATATTTGTGCCATTTTTTCATATACTTGAATGTTTTTTTGTATCTATGTTAACCCCAGTCAATCTTTCTAGACTTTAGGATGTGTCATCAAATGTAGACTGCACACTGCAGCATAACAGCATGATGACCATTGCTTAGTATGTATGCCTGTTTGTGTGCTAGAAATGAAAGGTTTGTTTAGTTCAGTCTTTTCACAAGAGTATTTATGCTCTATGAAACGCGTTGCTGTAAGGCCTATTTAGCTTTTTATGTAAGGGATGACTTCTTATTTTTGTTTATTATGCTTTATGCATATAGAGATGTTTAATACTTTAATATGTTGCCTCTTGTTAGAAGGTTTGTCTCTCCACATTCTGACTTTGTTTCAAAACAAGTATAATGCTTCCTTTTATATGTTTTGTGTCATTGTGTGTGCCTCCTTTTATGATTCCTTATTTTCTTGTTAAGCTTTCATTCCTTTGGGTTTTATTTTATTCCTTGTTTTATGGTTACTTTACAACCGGCCAGTCCAATTTGCTGGATTGCTTTGAACTGGTTTTTGCTGCTCTGGAGTAGAATATGTTGGATTGCATTCTCGAGAAGCTCCCGCTGGAGGGACTGTGTGTCCTGGGCAGTGTGTGTAGGTCCATGAGGGAGAGATGCATTAGTGACACTTAAAGCAGAAATGGGGGAAGGTCATTGGCCCTGCTGCCCACAGGGAATGGCAGTACCATATCTCTTCTTTTTCCTCCAGGTTTTTCAACCAAGGCCATCCAGAAAATTGCCATTGAAATTCATTGTATTTGTAGTTTGCTGCGGAATGGGCATGTTTTTTTTTCTGAAATCATTATTAATATCAGTTTACTAGCTTAACTGTGCTATCCTAATCAAATGTGTGTGAAAATCAAGTCTTCAAAGACCCCTCAAGTTGTTTGTAGTTAGTACTCAAAACTTCATTGAAAAAAGCAAAATGTATAGTTTTGATTTAGTCTGCTATTAAACTGAAATTAAAATTGTTTCAATTCCAGTTTAAATGGGTGGGTGAGGCCTCATATTAAATAAATTGCATGTTCTTTTTGTTTGGTTATATATGTTTGTTTATGTTAATTAAATTGCATGATGATGAAGAAACACAAGATGTGTATTGGAGCAATTGAAGTGGCGTTGGAGTCATAAACATATTACTCCCTCTGTCCCCTAGTTTTTGTCCACTTTTGACTTTTGGAATTGTTCATCTAAGCACTTTGACTCATCAAATTGTCTCAATGTGTAAGCCTAAATATAGTCATGTGTGATCTTGTTTGATTCGTCTTAACATATAGATTATTAATATATAATTTCTATAATTGTTTAATATACAAATTACAAGATAAAATGGATTAAAGAAGTGCATTGGATGTTGTGTAAAAATGAAAGTGGACAAATACTCTGGGACGGAGGCAGTAGTCAATAAAATCTTTTAGGTTCAAATTTAGATTTACATTGTTTTCTAACCAAATTTTCTTCTAACCAAACAAAAAAAGTTTGAGATTACATTTTCTTCATCAATTTCCATCTTAACCAAACATAACTAGAATTTTGAGTTTCTTTCCTTTTCTATTCTTTTCCTTGAACCAAACATAGTGCTAGTAGATTGAAAGAGATTTAGGAGAAATATTTTAGATCTAAATTATACTCCCTTCGTCCTATAATGATATTCCTGGTTCGCAAAACGAAGAAAAATCTCAAGTTTTTTCAATCTATTTTATTTAAATATTGGTATAAAAATAAAAAATAAAACATACATATTTAAAAACTACACCAAAAGTTCAACAAAATAAGTGGTGACAAGAATATTTTATTTTATCATATAGGCAATGAAAAAACACAAATAAATATAAATTCCCGTGAAGTTGGAATAGTGCTCTGGGAAGATCATTATAGGACGGAGGGAGTAAATCATTAGCATCGCTTAGAGAAAGAACCGATGTCTTTGCCTATTCCGACTTAATATTTAAAAATATAGAATAGTATATATTGGCATCGGTTGTTACAGAACACCGATGCCTTTATTAAATTATTTAAAAACTTAAAAAAATAAAAACAGTATGAGCATCGGTTGTAAAAAACAACCGATGCCTTTATATTTTTATAAATTTTGAAAATTTAATATTATCTTTTAGCATTGGTTCTAGTCAACAATCGATGCATTTGTTCATTTTTTTAAAAAAAATCGAAAAATAAAAAAGTTATTAGCATCAATTGTTTTAAATAACCAATGCCATTCAAAATAACCGATGCTAATATTTATTTTTATTTTCCAAATTTTATTTAATAAAAATCAATTGCATCACTTTTAAAGAACAATCGATGCCTTTGCATCAATTATTTACATAAGCGATGCAATTGAGGCGGTATTTTTGCCTTTTTTTATAATAGTGAATATCTTTCTCGAACGATATTTTAAACTATTTTTGATAATCCATTATTATATTTCTCCCAAAAAAAAAACATACAAAGTTTGTAATCTAAAAAACGTGTAAACTTGAGATTATTTAAGAATTTTTTTTCAAAACTTTAATGTTTTGGTATTAGTATTTCCGTAATGGAAAAATTCATGTGTTTTTTTAAATAAAACAATTTTATAAACATATTTATGTAAGTAAATTAACAAAATTGATATGCGGAGTAATTTTTTTCATTTATCGGCCTCGCAATAACTACAAGTCAAAACAAACTCCTCTATGACTCTGTCAACTCAATTCACATGATCAGATCCAACTAATTAATTCCTCCCTGTTTTCAAATCCCCAATCCGCTCCTAACCGTTTCGTATATATATTCTCCACTCCACACCTTCTCCGGTTTACTCATTTGTATCTGCCTGCTTCAACCTTAATTAGCTTCATCAGATAGGCTCCCTCCCATATGGCCATTATAAGCAATCCAAGAGTCTGCTTCTCCTACGCCGCATACGCCAAGAAAATCATCGCCGCCCTCAGATCCCTCGACCTTCCGGTGGAGGAAGGGCTTTCCGACGTCGAATTCTCCGCCCTCGAATCCAGTCTCAATTTCTCCTTCCCTCCCGACCTCCGCTCCATCCTCCGCGAAGGCCTCCCCGTCGCCCCCGGCTTCCCCAACTGGCGATCGGCGTCCCCCCAGCAGCTCGAGGTCCAGATCAATCTCCCGATTTTGGGGCTGTGCAAGGAAGTTTCCAGAGGCCGGTTCTGGCTCCATCGCTGGGGCTCACGCCCCGACGATGAACGACAGGCGGTGATTTCGGCCAAGGAGTTTCTGAAATCCGTTCCGGTTCTCGTCCCCATTTTCCGCCAATTTTACATCCCTGCCTCGCCGCAATCCGCCGGGAATCCGGTGTTCTACGTGCATGGAGTGGAGGTGGAGGTGTGGAGCTTCGATCTCGCCGGATTTTTCCA